TCGCGCGCCCGGGGGGGGGGGAACCCCAGTCCCGACAGCCGGCCGCTCTGCTCCCTGCCTGGCGGGACTGCGCCCTCGTTACTAGCCCGTGCTCCAGCCTAGTGCCAGTGGGTCTCACCAGCTAGCGGGTCTCACCAGCTGCCGGCTCACAGCAACTTTCGTTTCTTTCTGCCCTTCATAGCCGCAGCTGGCAGGCTGGGGCCGGGGGAAGCAGCAGCGATCTCCCCCCTTGGCCGATGCACCCCAGAGCCGGGCTCTGCAGCCGGCTAGCGCGCGGCGCTCCGCTGGCCCATCGCGGCGGCAGCGGGAGTTTCCGTTCCGCCGCCCAGCGGCGAGGAAGCAGCCGGGGAACGGGAGGGGGGAAACTTTAGGGTGCTGCTGAGCTGGCGATCGCTCCGAAAGTGCATCTCGCCTCCCGCGCAGCAGCGGCGGCGGCTCCTCCTGGGTGGCTGCGGCGAGACGCGCTCCGTCCCCCGCTCGCCGCCTCTCTGGCGCGGGGGGTTATCAGACCGGATGCGGGGAGCAGCGAGCGCGAGGCAAAGGGGTCGCGGCGGGCTATTTCCCCGGCTTCCCTCCGCATCGGTCAGAAACGCCTTTGCGATCGCCGGCCCGCTCTGTACCAGCTCCGGCGGCAGCCCCCGGCGCTCGGCAGTCACCCCCCCGGCAGCCCGGGCTCCATTGCAAGCCCAGCTGTCCGGGAGAGAGACTTGGAGCACGAGCTGCTTCTCCGCGCTCCCGGCACAGCAAAACAGAGCCGCCCGCCCCCTGCCTATTGAACGGGTTGCAGAGCGCTAGCCAAAAACGCACGCGGCCCCGCCTCCCCTCCGGTCCCGCGCTCCCCTATTGGACGCTGCAGTCATCAGTCCTCTCGCTTTCTCCGCCCCGATCGCCCCGCTCTGCAATGGTTGCTCTCGCTGCGGCTGGGGAGAGCGGCAGCAGCCGCGCTAGGAGCGCTCTTGCGCAGCGCACCCGGCTTGGGTCCAACGCCTCCTCCTGGGAGAGTTGAAGGGAAAGTTTTCGAAACAGCCCCTCCCTTGGCTGCCCTGAGAAAAAGGGCTCCGGTAGGTGCTGGAGCTAGGCACCCTTCAGGGGAGGCTCATCACTAGGGCCCTACCAAATTCATGGCCATGAAAAACGCATCATGGACCATGAAATCTGAGCTGCCCCCATTAAATCTGGTCTTTTGTGTGCTTTTCCCCTGTACTAGACAGATTTCACAGGGGAAACCAGCATTTATCAAATTGGAGGGTCCTGACCCAAAAGGGAGTTGCAGAGGGGGTTGCAAGGTTTTTTTAGGGGATCATATTTCCACCCCCTCTCCCAAACATGCTGCACCCTCGCTCCTCTCCCCCCAGCGCTTCCTGACTCCGCAAAACATCTGATCCGCAGCAGGCAGGTGGTAGGTGCTGAGAGGGAGGTGCTGGGTGAAGGAAGAGGTTCTGGTATGGGGGCTCCTCCTCACTACCACCACCGCCCCTGCGCTTGTTTCCCCATTCACCTCCTCACCCCACCCATCCACCTCCCGCCTTACCTCCCCACCCACGGGGGCCCCAAAAGTGTGGTGCTTGGGGTGGTCACCCCAATTCACTGTACCCAAGGGACGGTTCTGGGTCACCCTACACAAGTGAAAACTGAAAACAAAACTCAGATGACAAAAATTACACAAAAACATAAATTGTCCAAGCTCCCGTGTCCACGTTCACCATGAAGTTTGCGAACCACAGCAACCCTGACCCAGGTTTTAGGCTTTTACACTTCTCTCTCTTCTTGGCCTTCTACGCTTTCCTTGTTTCTGACCTGATCTAAATACACAACATTTAAATTATGTTAGGGAAGACAAGACCATTTAGAAAAGCATCTAAGCCAGGGTGTATGTCCAGTCTACAACTTACTTATTTACAGTTGTATTTAAGAATCCTTTTTGGAGGGTTTATCTTAAACACAGTTTAGTATGAACCCATTTATTTTTACTGTCAATGGGACTGTACAGAGAAAGGCCAATACAGACAATGCTGCCAGAGTAGCATCCACATAGCCAGCCCCTACAAGCATGTTGAAAATACTAATGCAATATTTACTGCTATTGCTCCACAGCCCAATGCTATGAAATTAGAGCTGCTTTGTGCAGTAAAAACTTGAGCAAAAGAGGTCAGTGAAAACACTGTCAGGAAATACCTTTCCTTGTCCCATGAGTCTGTTCTTTGCAAAGTGCTGTACAGGTTCCAGTCCTCTATTGCTGTGGTGTAAATGATTTTGTCTTAGGACATTTGTGCAGCTTAAACCATGTTATGTTAAATTATTTTCAATACCTTTGTGCTAGTGTGCACAGGACATTTATTGATGCCTTTACACTTTTGTTGCTGCTGCACCTAATAGGAGCAGATAAATTTTAAAATAATACTCAATTCATCATTTACTTTCTTTTTGGATGTGTTTGGCAGGGAATAGAGTGTTTTCACTAGGCCTAATTCACCCAAGAATTTTAGGTATCCAGTAGGACTTTGCTTCCTGAAGTGTGTTATTTAAATAGGGCCAGTATGTCACACCCCAATGGCCCCCTCCCTCAGGGAGTCCCCAGGGAAGGCAGATCAGCATTTTATGTGGCTAATGCTGTTGCAAGCATCTCAAAGCATTTTGGGGAGGGTCAAAGGTGTGTGAGTGGGGAATGAAAGATTCCTTTGCAGGAATATAGAAGGCCAAGAGAGGGGGAGAAGAAAGAAGAAAGCAGAGAATGGGTTAACTCAGCACTGCAGCTAGCAAGCTCAGTCCGAAAATGAGACGCTGGCCCCCACCCAAGGACACTGCTCACAGCAGAGACTTGGCTGACAGCCAAAAAAGATAGGGGCTTGAATGTGCCCGAGCGGCCGTGGAAAAAAGAACTAAGTGAGACTCAGAGCTGCAAAAATAACAGCGAGACTAGTGAAGGCTAAAACAAAAAAGAAAACAGTCTCCGGAGCCGGGATGTTTTGGGAAAGGGAAAGAGACCACAGAAAGCGGTTTGAACTGGCACAAGGAGCACCAGGAACAGAGGTCGCAGAATGAAACACCCCCAAAGGAGTCCAGGACTTAAAACCTTCCTAAGAGCTGGAGCAATTCAGAGATTACAGCGGATCCCCCGGATGACCTGGGCCCAGGGCAAGAACTCCTGTCCACCCCTTCCCCTCTTCTTCTTACGTTACACCCAGGCCTGGCCAGCTTTAGGTAGTGCATGTGTGAGTATAAAAGTGGGTTAGGGCTTGGGGCTCTAATGCTTTCTTTCTTCCCCTGAGTAACATGAAAGTGTTCCCAGCACTCTCTGCTGTATTTTATTATTTTATTAATAAAGCTTTAAAATTTAAACACTTGGTGTGTTACGTCATCTCCTTCCGAAACGATCCTGGGGCATCAGCCCGATCACTCGATGCTCCAGGCAGATTGGTAACGAAAATCTGTCACCGTTTTGGTGGAGAATGCGGGCAATTATGGTTTAGCATGCTGGGAATGTGGCATCACGTGTTATCTGGGATTGGGTGGTCCATTGCGACATGTGGAAGGTGACTCCCTCCAATAACATGGCTAAGCGGTATGTGCTGCGCTAACTACATCTTCTATCAGCACATATGGATTGCAGAGGGCAACACTTGGCAGCTGTAGCCTATAAAGCCCCCCTCAAATGGTGTGTAAAAAAAAGGCAGTGCCAGGCTGCTTTTATGAGGTAGGTCTGCTGGGAAGGGATCGGAATATGCCCCCACTAAGGCCCATGTGTTTACCAATACCTCTGCATGTGTTTGAAGGACCACCTACCCCAGGGTGCCTCTCTATTTGCGGTTAAGATCACGAACACAAAATTTTTCAGTGCGTTGGCCCATCATTCTGCAACAGACTGTTAACAGTTCTATCTATGTTGTGTTTAATTTTTCATAAATAACACCCAATGTGTTTCTCCCGTTAGCGCACACCCGAGAGCAACTTTTCATATTCCAGACAGATGCCTCCTCCTTCATGGTGTTAAAACACACATTTAACCTGGAGAGAAATGCCTTTGCCACAGCTGTCCTGATGGGCCATCTATGTCAACAAAAAAATGTGTTATGCTACGTTACTCATAAAGCCAGAAGTCATTATTGACTGGTATGTGCAATTGTTGCTGTTCTAACAATCTTGTGCATGCTGTATTGCTGTTTATGTAAAAGGCCAACAGTAACCCTTGCCGCTATACCAGGGGGAGGATAAAAACCTGAATGGTGACTCCTCCCAACAAAATGTTGATTCGGGGTCAAGGGGAGGAATGTCACACCCAATGGCCCCCTCCCTCAGGGAGTCCCCAGGGAAGGCAGATCAGCATTTTATGTGACTAACGCTGTTGCAAGCATCACAAAGCATTTTGGGGAGGGTCAAAGATGTGTGAGTGGGGAATGGAAGATTCCTTTGCAGGAGTACGAAAGGCCAAGAGAGGGGGAGAAGAAAGAAGAAAGCAGAGAACGGGTTAACTCAACATTGCAGCTAGCAAGCTCAGTCCGAAAATAAGACGCTGGCCCCCGCCCAAGGACACTGCTCACAGCCGAGACTTGGCTGACCACAGAAAGCGGTTTGGACTGGCACAAGGAGCACCAGGAACAGAGGTCGCAGAATGAAACACCCCCAAAGGAGCCCAGGACTTAAAACCCTCCTAAGAGCTGGAGCAATTCGGAGATTACAGTGGATCCCCCGGACGACCTGGGCTCAGGGCAAGAACTCCTTTCCACCCCTTCCCCTCTTCTTCTTATGTTACTCCCAGGCCTGGCCAGCTTTAGGTAGTGCGTGTGTGAGTATAAAAGTGGGTTCAGCGCTTGGGGCTCTAATGCTTTCTTTCTTCCCCTGAGTAACGTGAAAGTATTCCCAGCACTCTCTGCTGTATTTTGTTATTTTATTAATAAAGCTTTAAAATTTAAACACTCGGTGTGTTACGTCATCTCCTCTCCAAACGATCTTGCGGCGTCAGCCTGATCACCTGATGCTCCAGGCAGATTGGTAACGAAAATCTGTCACAAGTTGATATATCTACTCAGATTGACTAGCAACTTAAATAAACTGTTATGCCAGTTGATTTCAATGAGAGTACTGAAGGCGTGAGTTACTTAACATGAGTAATGTATCAGAATCTGGCCTATAAAATGGGATGGGATGTACATTCTGCCTGGTAACAATTAATTAATAAGTCTCATCCAGTGCAGTTATACTAGACACTTAGGCGGAACCTTCAGCAGCCACAGGCTGTTATTTTTGGAGAGTTAGCCTTCCTAAAACTCAAAAATTACCCTCTCTTTTAAAAATAAATGTGACACACCAGCTGCTATAGCAGGGGCGGCTCCAGGCACCAGTGCAGCAAGTGCGTGCCTGGGGCGGCAAGCCACAGGGGGCGGCGTTCCGGTCGCCATGAGGGCAGCAGTCAGGCCGCCTTCAGCGGCATGCCTGCGGGAGGTCCGCCGGTCCCGCGGCTTCGGTGGCAATTCGGTGGCGGGTATGCCGAAGGGGGGGACCGGCAGATCACCCGCAGAAACGCCGCTGAATCCGCGTGACCAGCAGACTGCCCGCAGGCGTGCCGCCAAAGGCCGCCTGACTGCCGTGCTTGGGACAGCAAAAAACATAGAGCTGCCCCTGTGCTATAGACATTTGAAAACAAAAACATATTGATGATTCTTGCATGAGTTATATTACTGGCTTCCGTGGTGCTATTCACAGGAGTAAGGGTTCCAAAATCAGGCTTGGGAAGTTGTTCAAGTCATAAGATTTATTTTCCTCCATTACTATTTTCATGGTCCACCCTACAAACTCAGACCTGGTCTACACTGGCTTTGTACAGGCATAGCTATTTGTAAGGAATGCAGATTTTTCCCAGAATACTTATACCTACAGTCCTAGTGTATACACAGTTGTACTAGCATAAAGGTACCATGTGCTGGCCTAATTTATTCCTGTTCTTGTATGGGAAAAAGCTATACCACTATTGCTGCATCAATACTAGGGTGGTTGTACCACTTGAACTGTACCAGTATAGTTAAAGCAGTACAACTTCTGTGTGGAGACAAGACATAACAAAATGATTTCACATTGAAGGTGGTTCAGGAGCAACAGTTTATAATAAGCCCATCCTGATTTTCCATTCAATTTAGCGTACAAATAACCTACCCTGCAAATCATCATCGGGTGGCATGAAATTTTGCAGCAAATGATCTTGAGACTTTCCCAAAACAGCTTTCATGTCTGGGGATTTCAAAGAATTCTTCCCAAGGGAACTGTTTCACCAGCTCAGCAAAAGTGTCAGCCTAATTCACTGACTTTGGAATGTACAGACCAGTCTGTCCCTAGAGCCAAACCCACATTACTAACAGAATATATGGTGTAGACTTTAGCATGACAATTCCACTTTGAAACAAACTGCTTGGAAATCTTTGTCAGCCTTCAGCTTCATAATCTTTACTATCATAGTCTGCCACTACTAATAGCATAGCGATGTCAAACAGCTTTGAGAGTAGGGCCTACTTTAGCTTCAGTTCTCCTAACATCTGCCTACATATTCTTTTAACCCTCATCATCAGAGTATTTTACACCTCCTACGTATTTATGGATTTATCCTCACAGTACCCCAAAGAGGTAGGAAAGTAATATTACTTCCATTTTACAGCTGGAAAACTGAGACAAAGAGATTAAGATGTTGTATAGAACTGTAGTTTTTTGTTTGCTTGTTTTTGTAGTTGTTGTGTGTGTATATATAAGGTTGTTTGTTTGTTTTTTACAAAAGTAGTTCACACTGGTGCAGCTTCTCCAGAGGAATTTTGAAGGCAATATTCACTCTCCCTCCCTCCTTGATACTTTGTTTTGTTGCCCTAAAGTGCTTTTCTCAATCTGTGCTTTAGGAAGGACTAAGATACAGGTAAATAAAAACTTCTCCACACATCCTGGATAAAAACTGTCACACATGGGCTGCCACCAAACTCCATTACTGTCTTGAATGTCTGACAATTAAGTAGATATTTCATCTGGCCTCTGCATGTATATGTAGTAGGAGTTTTCAAGACATCACAGATCATCATGTGTATTCAGTTAAAGTAATTTAGGAAGTATTAACTCCATACAGACAATAAGGTCCAGGTCCTCTTCTTGCCCGGATCCCGAATACGCTTATGTTTCAGAAACACATTTTGTTCTATAACAGCTCTAGGCATCATTCCAAAATTCCATTACCTTTAATTACATGTTCATTCTGTAAAGAAACACTTTTTTTATAGATTGAAGCAAACAGGAACCGTGGCACCTACTTCACCCCCACGAGCCTCTTTCCAGGCTACCCGCAAAGCATACAGCCAAAAACAGCAGTGGTTCAGTCTTCATGCTGTTTGGCGGCTTTTAGAACCTCAGATTTAAATCCTCAATAGGAGAACTATTATCTCTGAGGAGACCTGAATTCTGTTCCCAGCTCAGTCACTGGCATGAACCATTCTGTCACAGTATTTTCAGTTCTCAGTCTTTGTGTTCAGTTAAGAACAAGGAGTCCGGTGGCACCTTGAAGACTAACAGATTTATTTGGGCATAAGCTTTCGTGGGTAAAAAACCCACTTCTTCAGATGTAGTTCGGTTAATTACTATTCAAGAACTAAAGGTGACACAATGACACGCTGAGGATGTTAAAACTAATGGTGAAAACGCCCTTGTAACAACATTAGAGAGACAAGGTGGGTGAGGTAATATCTTTTATTGAACAAACTTCTATTGGTGAGAGACACTAGCTTTCAAGCTTACACAGAGCTCTTCTTCAGCTCTGGGTAACAACATGTCTATTATCAGACATTCACCTTTTCACTGTCACTACTCTTTTCGTTGCCCTCCATCTCATTTTTTCGAAGTCCTGTTCTGCTCTTTATCTCTTGGCTCCAGTCCTGTCCAGTCAAGTGCAGAATATTTCTGTGGAATTTTGGCTGGTAATCAGATGTCTCATTAGTTTTCAAAAGTAGCCTAATTTCCTTCCATACATTTGTTTTCAGTCAGAGCATTATAGGAGATTCTACTTGCTCCAGAACACATGGTTCCACGACTGAACATTCTTACATGCACCAAATTTATTTTCTTTGGCCACTCAAAATGTTTGATCTGTCAATCTTTTAATTGTCCATTTTTACACAAGAATGTTTTTAGGCTACTCTAGTGTTACAGGGAAGTCTTCTCTTCAATGTATGTCCCACTAACAGCCCTGCATTCTAATGGCACTGCATGGTAAGTAAGGCTAAGATTTTGTCACGGATATTTTTAGTGAAAGTCACAGACAGGTCATGGGCAAAAAAGAAAAATTCACGGAAGCCGTGACCTCTCCATGACTTTTACTAAAAATATCTGTGACAAAATGGGTATCTTTGGGTCCACACACTGCCTGAAATGGGGCAGCTGCACAGGGGCTAGAAGTCGCCTGCAGCAGCTGGGGGCTGCAGGGTACCCCTACAGTCTGCAGCTCTGGGGATCCCCCCACTGCCCGTGGGGGCAGGGAGCTATGGAGTGCCCCTGCCTCCCGTATCAGCCCGGAGTTGCGGAGTACCCCTGCCACCAGCAGCTCCGGGGGCCCCCACCGGCCCTCAGCAACGAGGAGCTCAGGGGTTCCCCCAGTGACTGGGAGGTCTCAGGGTTTCCCTGCCTCCCACAGTGGCCAGGAGCTCGGGGTACAGTATACAATAATTGATGTTGTGTTTGACAGTAGAAGTCTCTGGAAAGTTGGAGTAATAGTCAGTTTTTGTAAAGTCCTTTTCATAGCCATTGCAATGAATACGGTAAATAAATCTTGAGCCTACATCTTTCGATAGGTATGCAGGTACTTCTCTTGCCACTGTTGACTCTTTGGTTGTAGAGAGTAAAACAATATGTCCTTGTCCAGCATCTTCATTCATTCATTAGGAGTGTCTTTCAAATATTTCAGTTCCTAAATATCCTTGATGAACTCATTAGGGCCCTGGAGTTCCCAGAGCTGTGCTCTTGAACCACTAGCTACTATTCTGAAAAAAGCTAGCTGGTCACATGGCTCTGAATCACCTCTTCTCCAGATGCTAAACTGT